TACGGAAGTAGATTGCCCAACCTTCCTTCCAAGGAGTGGCTGGGGGGTTTGAACCGCCAGCCTTCTGGTTAGCAGTCAAATGCCTTAGGCACTACGCTACCAGAGCTCCTTGATACAAAATTTTGTTGTTATTGTTGTTATGTGCAGTCGAGTCAAACCCGACTCATAGCAACCCCTCCTTGGGTTTCCGAGGCAGTATCACTACGGAAGTAGGATTGCCCAACCTTTCTTCTGAGGAGTGGCTGGTGGGTTTGAACCGCCAGCCGTCTGATTAGCAGGCAAGTGTCTCAGCCACTATGCTACCAGAGCTCCCTTCATACAAAATAGCTGGGTGGAAAAAAAAGTGCTTACTAGTTGTAAAATAAAATCTACCTAGACCTGCATAGCATAGTGGCTAAGGCACTTGACTGCTAACCAGAAGGCTGGCAGTTCAAACCCACCAGCCACTCCTCGGAAGGAAGGTTGGTCAATCCTACTTCTGTAGTGATACTGCCTCGGAAACCCAAGGAGGGGTCGCTATGAGTCGGGGGCCGACTCGATGGCACATAACAACAACAGACCTGCATAGGGTTCATCAAAGCATGAAATAGTGAATGAAAACATCCCTATTTTTACAACTATTTCAGTTTTAGAAAATATAGCTCCATATAAGAACTTGTACATGAATGTTTATGGCAGCATTACTAATAATTGCCACAAAGTGTAAACAACCCAAAGTCCATCATCTGACAAATGGATAAACAAAATATGGTATGTCCACACAATCAAATATTATTTAGCCATACAAAAGAATGAAGTTCTGACCCATGCTACGCAAACGCAACCATTGCCATGGAGTCAGATCCCACTCATAGTGACCCCTCCTTGGGTTTCCAAGGCGGTATCACTACGGAAGTAGATTGCCCCAACCTTCCTTCCGAGGAGTGGCTGGTGGGTTTGACCCACCAGCCTTCTGGTTAGCAGGCAAATGCCTAGGCACTGCACCACCAGAGCTCCCCTGATCCATGTTACAACCTGTGAAATCAATAGGGTTGCTGTCACCCAGTATGGTAACACATGCTGTCACCCCCTTATGGGTGGAGGGGCCTGGCCCCACTAAGACACACACACAAATACACACACCTCACACCCCACCCTCTTCACCACCCCACAGGGCCCAGAGTTCTGCACTGTGAACACAGCCCCTTCTGCCCCACCCCCAGCTCCTCACAACTCCTCCCCTCTCCCATTGGCCAAGGCAGAGACCCTTCTCTCTATCCAATGGGTGACACTTCAGCCTGCCCAGCAACACCCTGACAGGTGGGTGACAGGGGAGTGGGGTGAGGGGGGCTGACAAGTTACTACACTGGATGAAAGTAGACAACTCTAGTGATGCCACTGCCTTGACGGCCCCATCCCCTGTCATGCTGCCACTGCAGACCCTGGGGTCATTTTGGTGTCACCCCATCTGACAGTGTCTGGGAGTGCAGTCCACACCCCACACACACCCTAGTGATGTCACTGCTACAACATGAATGAACCTTGAAAACATTATGCTAGGGGAAAGAAGCCAGTCACAAAAGACCATATATTACATGAGGAGCTCTGGTGGCATAGTGTCTAAGGCATTTGACTGCTGACCAGAAGGCTGGCAGTTAAACCCACCAGCTACTCCTCAGAAGGAAGATTGGGCAATCTACTTCTGTAGTGATGTTGTTGTTGTTGTTGTTATGTGCCGTCGAGTCATACCTGACTCATAGCGACCCCTCCTTGGGTTTCCGAGGCAGTATCACTACGGAAGTAGGATTGCCCAACCTTCCTTCCGAGGAGTGGCTGGTGGGTTTGAACCGCCAGTCGTCTGGTTAGCAGGCAAGTGTCTTAGCCACTATGCTACCAGAGCTCCCTGTAGTGATACTGCCTTGGAAACCCAAGGAGGGGTCACTATGAGTTGGATCTGACTTGACGGCAGTGATTTGGGTTTTGTGGGTTTTTTTGGTTATTTATACAAAATGTCCAGAATGGGCCTATCTATAGAAACAGAAAGGAGATTAGTGGTTACTTAGGACTGGTGGGGGTTGGATAAGAATAAGGGAGATGATAGCTTAAAAACACTGGGTTTCTTTTGAAGTGAAGGAAACGTCCTAAAATTGGTTGTGAGGATGGATGCACATATCTTTGGATATGCTGAAAACCATTGAATTATACACTTTAAATGGGTGAATTGTATGATGTGAGAATAAAACTGTTTAAAAAAGAAGGAAAGACACTTGGGGAAAATAATAATAATAATAATATGTCCCATTCCCCTTTCCCTTGGTGAGGGCCAGAAGACTCAAGCGAGAATTCAACTGGTGTGTGTGTTCTCCAGGGCTGGGGCGAAGAGGGAGACCCACAAGGTTGAGGCCAGGATATCATCAGTGTGGCCAGGAGATTGGGAACTGAGCAAGTAAGTAAATATATTAAGGTTAATGGGAGCCAGGTTTCTCACTGCTGGAGATGCAAAAGACATATAGAAAAGGAGAAGACTAAAATAAACCTTCTGGTGTTGGCTTGCAGTTGGAGGTTTTGGTGTAAATTTTGAGCTTTTAGTAGATATAGAAATTGCTATAAATGTATGAAATAGATATAAAGGTATATACATAGTCATATATGTCTTATATATTTCCTAGCTCTTTACACTAAAGAGGATATAAAAGCAATGCCACTCCCATAGAAATGAGCACACCAAGTACCCAGATCTTGGTTTCTAAAAACCATTCTCCACTAAATGAAACCAGAACTCATTGGAGAAATGTTTGATTCCATAGGAATCCATTAGTTCTTTCATTCTGTTATAAGCAATAAATAAACGAGGGAGATAGGAAAACTATCTTATAGTAGAATGATAGCCCATAAGGACAACTTTAGAAAATCACCATTTGGTGACCATCATATTCATAACTGATTCACTCAAAAATTATCAATGGAGTCTACAACTAGTGGGTGAAAGTTTGATGAGGAACAGGATACTTACATCATCCCAAAGTATCTCTCCCTAAGATACTTATAAATTAACTTTTTAATTGTCAATTCGAGTTTGTGAGTCCTTCTCTAAGCTATGAGTCCTTTGAGGTCAGGGTCATCTTCATTTCCACTCTCCAAGCCTAGCACAGTACATGGCATATGGTACTGTGGCAAAGATGGTGACGTGGTTACTACATTCATTACCTACTCTTCCTGGGCACACAGATAAATTATATTTTTCAGCCCTTTTGCCATTAAGTTGGACCCAGGTGACTTGATTTTAGCCATGGATTGTGGGTGAGAGTAATTTATACCATTTCCAGGCCTAATCCATAAAAACCTTCCAACCCTTTTCTGCTTTTCCTCTTTGGTAGCCAACTTGAAGGTCATGTGTTGAAAACGGGGCCATTACAAGATAGAAGAAGCCGGGGTCCCTGAATAGGTGCATGGAACAATCTTTCCCAACACATATACCCTTATCCCACAGCTGACCCACACTGGACTGTGACCTGAGCAAGAAATAACCTTCATTGCATTAATCCCCTGAGACCTGGAGGGTGTTTATTACAGCAGTTAGCCTATCCAGACTAAAATAGGTAGGAACACAATAATCGCTTTAAAAATAAAGGAATTTCCTGGAAGACTCCTAGCAACAATTTAGCAGATAGGCTTATCTTCAACAAAACAAAGCAGAGTATTTCTTTCCAACTCATATTCTTCCCAGAACAACTTGTTTCCTTAAATTGTTCTTAACAACAACTGTTAGCATTTGATCTGAGGAGTTTAACAAGTGCTGTTATTGATAATAACAAATACAGGAGAATTCTAATGACTGTCTCTACACTTGCTGTTAGGTGTGTCTCACACTTGATAGGTGTGAGAATTCAGCTGTTTCCCTTGAGAAACACTTTATGTATTCATCCTTCTTCTAAAAAATATACTTACAATTCGCTATTTGTGTTGGGCTCTAGAGGAATGGGCAGAGACAAATGTTCCCTGCCCTGATGAGTCCAGTAGGAGAGAGATGTAAACAACTACAACTACTACAGCAGAATTGGGGAAGTGCCTCCAGGAACTTTGTGATGAAAGGCCATTAGATTAAGAATCTGCAAGTAACTGTCCCTCATGGAGCCCTAGCTTCCTCCTCAATAAATGGCAAATTTAGAATAATCTAAGGATGGCAGGCACATAGACAGCATCCAAGGTGTTGTTGTTGTTTGTTGTTGTTGGGTGTACCACATAGAAACCAGCCTTCAATCACAGCACTCCTTCCTGATGTGCCTGGACTTGGCCTCCAAGTAGTTTCCAACACAGAGCTCCAGGTCACCACTAATCCATGAAACCTACTAGCCATCCCTGAAATAGCAATTCTCTAAGATTCCTTTCAAGCTTCTCTAACAAAAGTCAGAAACCAAAACAAGATCCTAAAGGATCTTGAGCTCAGGGACTGCCACCCAAGGACTCCACTAGTGTGTACAGCAAGCATTATGTAAACACTGTGTAATGTATGTTAAATATATTACTTAGGGAGATGACAGCTTTTCATCATCCTGGGATAAGGTGAGGGGTGTGGGGATAAGGCTGGAAGCTGTGGGTTCTGCTTGTGAGATTAAGTAAAGATTTCCTAGCCCTGACTGGAAAGACCTGACCTGGGGACCCCAGATCTCATCCCGCTACCTACAGTCCCCTCCAAGTGCCAGCTCAGTGCCGCCAGCCACAGTGCTCATAGTCTACAGCTAAAGAGCATTTATATCAAGGAGTTAAATTAATTCCCAATAGGGACAGAAGGCAGTTTCCTCCCTGAAATCTTGGCTTTCTGTGCTTCCTTTACTCCACCTTCAACAAACGTGCAGCACAGGAAATCACTGAGGCATCGCTGATTCACTTCCTTTTGAACTCTCAGTTCCTTTAATATAAAATATATCTTGCCACAAGGATCATTTCTCAACAGTTCCTCACCCAGGAGCCTCAGAAGCCCGGGCCAGCTCTGTTCCTGCCGCAGCTTCCCCCACAGGAGGATGAAGGTGCTCCTGGTCGCTGTCTCCCTCATCATCGCCTTTGCCCTCAGGGCCGAGGGTGAATCCTCATCACGTGAGTCCAGAGCTTCATACTCCTTCCCACCTGGTCCCTGTGGGGCAATGAGCAGGAGTAAAGTGCCTAGAGGTGTCAGAAGGGAACTTTAGAAGGATGTCTGGGGTCTTGTTAACTTGGCTTCATCCTCACCCTCCTCAGGACAACACCTCCTTCCCCTCCAGCCTGCCTCTCCACTCCCTCAATTCATCTCTTTGCCCCTAAGCAAAAGAGTGACCACCCTATTTGGGGGACATTACCTCCAAGAGATGAGGAGCAGTATTTGGTGCCGCCAGGGCCATTTTGCCAATTGCCCAGGAGAGTTAAGTCCAGGCTACTTGCAGGGTCACCCTACCTGTGAGTGCAGCCTTGCTCAGTCATGAGCTAGGGGGTGACACAACAGTGGGGGTTCTACTGAGGCTGCTTCTTTCCAGTTTATTTCTTAGAGTGAGCTGCCTTTACAGACAACCTAGACCATTTCTCACCCTTCTGTGTTCTCTGTTTCCTTTCCTGAGCCTTGGGGTGGGGGGGAACACATTCATACACACACACAAATAAACCATTGCTGTAGAGTAAATTCCAATTCATGGCGACCCCATGTGTTACAAAGTAGGGTTTTCTTGGCTGTGATCTTTACAGAAATAGAATGCCAGGGCTTTCTTCCAAAGAGCTGCTAGGTGGGTTTGAACCATCAAGCCTTAGGTTAGCAGCCAATCATAGACCACTTGCACTACACAGACACCTAGGGAAAAACACAGATAAGGTTGTGAAACAAAACTAGTCTAAAGTGAATGGGAACCCTGAGAAGCCCTGGTGGCACAATGGTTAAAGCACTGCTCTGTGGGAGAAAGATGAGGCAGTCTTCTTCCATAAAGATTTACAACCTTGGCAACCCTATAGGGCAGTTCTACTCTGTCCTATAGGGTCATGGTGAGTTGGGATCAATTCGATGGCAATGGGTTATTTTTTGTTTTTGTTTTTTTAAGTGAATGGGAATCTGGACTGTTTGATTTGCTCTTTGAAAGGCCATTTGTCAGCTCAAAGAAATAAAGTGGAGAGAGTTAGACCGTGATGGGGTCTTGAGGAACAGTGGAGCCCTTGCACCAGTCTTTGAGTGGTGAGGATATGCCAGGAGGGGTGCTAATAACAGGACCGGGATGTTCTCTTTCCCTCCAGGCATCTGGCCACTTAGTGGGTAGCCTAAGAGGTTATCACAGTCACACACTCACACTTCTCTCCAAGTTGGTTGTGGAGCGTGCACACGTCCCATAACTCCACTCTCGACACCACATGTACTTGCATACGCAGGGCCCTCCTACAGCACCCGTCCTGCTCCTTCCATAACTTCAAGCTCAGGGAAACTTTGCTGCCACCCCCACACATTTCCTATAAGAGTCATGAAGTTTCAGAATTGGAAAACCAAATAAACCAAACCAGTCATCAGCGAGTCAACTCCGACCCATGGCAACCCCACTTGTGCAGAGTAGACCGGTGCCCCACAGGCTTTTCAATGGCTATGACCTTTCAGACTGCCAGGGCCTCCCTCCCAGGCACATCTGGGTGGGTTCCAGCTACCAACCTTTCAGTTAGTAATTGAGCACTGAACTCTTTGCACCACCCAGGACTCCTTCAGAATTGGAAAGTAGCTGAAAAATCACCTAAGCTGGTGATAGACCATTTTGCCAACTGCCCAGGAGAGTTGAGTCCAGGCCACTTCCAGGGTCACCCTACCTGTGAGTGCAGCCTTGCTCAGACATGAGCTAGGGGGTAACACAACAGTGGGGGATCCCGCTGTGGATGCTTCTTTTCAGTTTATTTCTTAGAGGGAGCTGCCTTTACAGACAACCCAGACCATTCCTTACCTTTCTGTGTTCTGTTTCCTTTCTAGAGCCTGCGGGGCAGGGGGAACACACTCACACACACACAAATAAACCATTGCTAATCACCTAAGCCAATGATTTTTAAAACTTTTTAAACCATGGAACCTTTTCTTCAAGCAAAATCTTATCGTTGTTGTTAGGTGCCGTCGAGTCATTTTCGACTCATAGCGACCCCATGCACAGCAGAACGAAACACCACCCGATCCCGCACCAGCTCCATGATCCTTGCTATATTTGCCCATTGTCGCAGCCACCGTGTCAATCAAAATCTTATAGTAAGGGTCAATATGTAAAACAGACAAAGGGTTAAATGGGGTGCAATACCCAGGACTTCTCTCTCAAATGCATCAGTACTTCCAAGACAGTCCCTGAAACATCTCTGTGTCCCCTAAAACCTTAGGGACCTCAGTTTGAAAAACAACTGATCCAGTCCAACAACCTCATCAACAGAGGAGGAAACTGAGAAAAGAGGGGAAATAAAGCCACGAGGGCAGCGATAGTTCAGAGGTAGAAGCCTCACCTTCCATGAGGGAGACCGGGTTTGATTCCCACCCACTGCACCTCGTGTGCAGCCACCACCCATCTGCCAGCCCAGGCGTGCCTGTTGCTATGATACTGAACAGGTTTCAGTAGAGCTTCAAGACTAAGATGGGCTAGCAAGAAAGGTGTTCTCCTTCTGAAAATCCGCAAATGAAAACCCTATGGATGACAATGGTCCAATCCACAACTACTCACAGGCATGGCGCAGGGCAGGGAAGCGTTTCATTTCCTTGTGCATGGAGTTCCATGAGGTAGGGGCTGACTCAATGGCAGCTAAGAACAACAAAGTGGTCCTGGACACAAAGCCAGCAAAGGTGAGGCTGGGTTAGAATGGGGCTGTCCCCTGAGCAGTGTTCTCGGGGCTAGGTGGGGCATCCTTCGCTCCCAGCAGGATGTGGGGCCAGTGGGAACATAGACAGGATAAGGGGCTGGGTCTGTATTCCCAAACGACATGTCTCCCAATCCTAATGATTTCTTCCAAATGTCCCTCCTATTTGGCGCATCTTTCCTCAATAAGACAGGCAGGTTGCATGACCTCGGCCAAGTCTTGTGCCCTCTCTGCCACTGCCCCGTGGGATAGTGTGTGCTCAGTGGGCCCTGGGCTTGCTGCTCTTCACTCCCTGATAGGAAGTCATCAGCCAGTCTTCCAGGAGGGGCTGAAGAAAGAGGAGGGTGATTGCTGTGCAGGAGGAGGCAAAAAGGAGCCAGAGGAGGGTATGGAGAGGAAGGAGAGGACTGAGTTTCTCCAAAGTCCTCTCTCCAAGTTCTGGGGCTCTCTCTCCCCCTCCCTCCCCTATCCCACCCCCTGGGGTTGTCAGAGCAGCATGCAGGCCTTCTGACTAGGGGCCCAATCTCAGCTCCCCTCCCGCTTTCCCTCCAGGAGGACCTTACCACCCTGCTGAGTGCTGCTTCTCCTACACTAACCATGCCATCCCACATCTCCGGATTACAGATTACTATGAGACCAGCAGCCAGTGCCCCAAGCCCGGAGTTGTGTAAGTGGCATCCAGACACCCCTGTGGGTGAGAGGGAGACAATTAGGACATGGCGGAGGGGGAAAACATGGAATAGGTCTCCCCAGGACACCATCCAGGTGTGTCAACTCAGGAAGAAGCAACTGAGGGGTAACCTGGAGGTTTTCTGAGAAGGCAGGAAGACCTCTCCCGAGAGCATTGCAGAGGTGGTGGTGGTGGGGCACAGTAACAAGGTGACTCTGGCCCTGAGCTATCTCTAACAAAGGGAGGAGGTCAGGCGGAGAGTTTGGGAGGAAGGGAGGACGGGCTCTCTCCTCCCAGCTGCTGACCCCTTCATGTGTAATCCTTCCCCCTCTTGCTCCACAGCTTCATCACCAAAAAGGGCCATTCCATCTGTGCCAACCCCAGTGATGATTGGGTCCAGGACTCCATCAGGGACCTGGAAGAAAACTGACTGGCCCAGAAGTAGTAGAGAAGGCCACATTTTAAAGAGAGGCCAAGGCCCCCCTCCAACTCCCAACTCGAAGCCCCAACCACCCCCTGGGAGCTGCCCTGCCTTGAATTAAAGACCACCCATGCCTGCCCCTGTCTTCATTCATTTCTACTGGCTTTGCCCATTGGACTGAGAACATGGGTAAGCTCAATCTGGGCTTCAGTATCAATCATTACACTGCAGAATGTTTTCTGTCTGGTTCCAAAAACAGATCAGGCCTGCAATGGGGGTAGGAAGAAGTTGAGCAGAGATTGAGAAAGAAGAAGCTCAATGGAAAGGCTGCCTCCCACAACAGCAACAACAGATACCTTATTCTGCCTTATTCTTCACACTTTCTACATCCGGAGTACTCTGCTAAGCAGTCTATATGCATTACCTCAATAAGGTTCAAGATAAGTGTGAAAACGAAGAATATCATCCGATTTCACAAGTAAATCTTTTTTTTTTTTTACAAGTAAAGCTTCATAAAGTCCCTTTCATAACAATCACATTCCTTAGTTCTTTTTTTCTGTGTTTCTCCCAAGATTTTTGTTTCCTACTCTCTGGAATAGGAAAGATTCACACACATATTTTATCCAATTCTGCCCCTTCTATATGCACACACTAGGTTGTACGATATTGTTTTATTCATCTTTGTATTCCTCACAAGGCCTAGCAGAAACCCTAGCCCCTACTAGATGCTTGGGGATGGATGGATGGGTGGATGGATGAATAAGTGAGTGGGTGAAGGAATGGGAGGGATAAATAGATGGGTGGGGTGAATGGATGGGTGAATGAACTAAGACAGAAATTGAGGAGACCTGTGTTCCCAGAATAACACCCAGCATCTCCAAAGGTTTTCAAATCCATCTTCAGAGATCAAGGAGGAGCTCCATGTACTCAGAATAATAGCACACTCATTCCAGAGACTATGATGATGCTACCTGGGCCTTGAGACTTCCATGAACAAGAGCCAAGAGGGGATTTGCATGCTAAATAAAAGCCCAACCAAGCATCTCAGACATCCTCACCTCCACATGTAGAGATCAAGAGGGTACCCCAGATATGCACCTTCACTGCCCTCATAAAAATCCACAGCTTCACCACTACTAACTGCCTTGAACCCACCCAGACAAATTACTTTATATGTGCTACCCTATTTATAAGCAGTCACATTAAGTGGTAAGTGCCATAAGCATCTATACTCCCTATTCTGCTCCTGCCTCCTTCTACTCTTAACTCCTAAAACACTTCCCCTGTGCTCCTGAAACTCATAGGCCATCACAGCAAAATTCCTTCTATGTTTAATCTCCTCTCTGAACACTGCCTTCAACCTCTTACTCAAAGGAAAACCTGGCTCTCCCCTAAAGGTGCTTCATAGCCAACCTTCCCAAATGCCAAAGACCTTTTCTCCCTCTGCCCTCATACCCTTAAGGCTTGGCTCCTCATTTTCACATTGCATTCTATGGGAGAGACCTTACTTGTTTTCCTTTTATTCTTAGACACATGGCTGGTGAAAGGCAGCCAAGCCCACTGGGGCCTCTTGGGCTAGGGTGTCTGAGTTGCTGTATGGCTTACAGAATGGTCTTGACTCTGACTGGGAGTAGGGAATGGGGGGAAATTTTCTTAAAGCCAAGGACTGAGGGATAAAGTAGAGTTGGACAAGCAAAGAATGAGGGAAGGGAGAAGAAAGAGCATAAGCAAAAAGCATAAAGAGGAGAAAGAGTAGGCTGGGGAATGGCATGTGGTTGATTATGGATGGGAGATAGGGCACAGGGCAAGACATGGAGAGAGACTGAGGCACTCATGAAGGAAAATGAGTACAGGCAAAGGATTTTGCATCTGAATATGAATGCAATCTTTGTCTTTGTTGGTCCTTAAGCAGTGGAAGGAGCTGGTCAGATCTGGACAATCAGGTGGACAGGGAGGGGAGGGAGTGAGCACAGAGAAGGAAGACCAGTCAGGGCCTGGTGAGTAGTCCTGGCCAGCTATGTGGGGAAGAAGGAGTCAGACCTCCTCTGTCTTGTCTCCCAGCCTTCCCCAGCTTCCAAGGCCCATCTCTATGCCTTCTGCAACAACAATAGCAGAATCCCACAGAGCCACATTCTGCCTCAGTCCTGGACCCAAGTCCTCCTGGGCTCAAACACGGCCCAGTACAGTAGAAGACATTAAAAGTCTGAGGTCTCCCAGGGATTTGTCAGGCAAAGCTGAATTCCTAGGGTGACTGTTTGCTGGGGCTGGTAGTCCCTGCCTGAGGTTTGGAGAAGAAGAGAGATGGGATGGAGGGAGGGACAGATACGCCAGGCCAGCACTGTTCCATAAAATTCATTCCTAGGAAAATAGGCATAAAAGTGCTCTGGCATAGGTGCTATGAGAGCAATAGTAGAAAAGAACATCTCCCAGGGTTGTTGTGTGGATTCTGGAAATTGTTGCCATCAACTCAGTCCTGACTCATGATGGTCCCATCTGTGTCAGACTAGAGCTATGCTCACTGGGTTTTCAATGGCTGATTTTCTGCAAGTAGATTACCAAGCCTTTCATCTGAGATGCCCCTGGGTGGACTGAACCTCCAACCTTTAGGTTAGCAGCTGAGCTAATGATTCTCATCAGGCAGAGACTATTGTAAAGATTGTTGTTGTTGTTGTTGTTAAGTGCCGTCAAGTCGTTTCCGACTCATAGCGACCCCATGCACAGCAGAACGAAACACTGCCCGATCCCGCGCCAGCCCCACAATCCCTGCTATACTTGAGCCCATCATCGCAGCCACCATGTCAATCCATCTTGTTGAAGGCCTCCCCCTCTTTCGTTGACCCTCCACCCTACCAAGCATGACATCCTTCTCCAGGGAATGGTCCCTTCTTACAACATGACCAAAATAGATGAGATGAAGTCTGGCCATTCTTGCTTCCAAGGAGCATTCTGGTTGCACTTCCTCCAGGACAGATCTATTAGTTCTTTTAGCAGTCCATGGTACTTTCAGCATTCTTCACCAGCACCACAACTCAAAAGCATCAACTCTTCTTCGGTCTTCCTTATTCATTGTCCAGCTCTCACATGCATATGAGGCGATTGGAAATATCATGGCTTGTGTCAGGCGCACCTTAGTCCTCAAGGAAATATCCTTGCTCCTCAGCACTTGATACAGTTCCTTCACAATTGACTTTCCCAATGCTACACGTCGTCTAATGTCCTGACTGCTGCTTCCGTTGGCATCAACTGTAGAACGAAGCAATGTGAATTCTTTGACAACCTCAATCTTCTCTCCATTTATTGTGATGCTGCTCATTGGTCCAGTTGTGAGGATTTTTGTTTTCTTTATATTGAGACGTAATCCATACTGCAGACTGTATTCTTCAACCTTCATCAGTAGGTGCCTTAAGTCATCCTCACTTTCAGCAAGCAAAGTTGTATCGTCTGCATATCTCAGGTTGTTAATGAGTCTTCCTCCAATCCTGATACCACGTTTTCCTTCATATAGTCCAGCTTCTCGGATTATTTGCTCAGCATATAGATTGAATAAGTGTGGAGAAAGGATACAACCCTGACGCACTCCCTTCTTGATTTTAAACCATGTAGTGTCCCCTTGTTCTGTTCGAACGACAGCCTCCTGGTCAAGGTACAGATTCCTCATGAGTACAATCAAGTGCTCAGGAATTCCCATTCTTCTCAATGTTATCCATAATTTGTCATGATCCACACAATCAAATGCCTTTGCATAGTCAATAAAACACAAGTAAACATCTTTCTGGTATTCTTTGCCTTGAGCCAAGATCCATCTGACAACAGCTATAATATCCCTTGTTCCACGTCCTCTTCTGAATCCGGCTTGAACCTCTGGAAGTTCTCTGTCAATATACTGCTGCAAACATTTCTGAATTATCTTCAGTAAGATCTTACTTGTGTGCGATATTAATGATATTGTTCTATAATTTCCACATTCTGTGGGATCACCTTTCTTTGGAATGGGCACAAATATGGATCTCTTCCAGTCAGTTGGCCAGGTAGCTGTCTTCCAAATCTCTTGGCATAACTGAGTGAGTGCCTCCAATGGGGATAAAAAGCCAGGAACCCAGACAGAGGAGCAGTCAGCCCCAGGGACAACTCAGGGACACACAAAACGGCAGGGCAGAAGAGCAGGAGAAAGGGGATTAAAAGCCAGGAAGCCAGACAGAGGTACAGTCAGCCACAGGGACCCAGTTGGGGGTGATACGAGAGGTCTCCAACAGCAAGACAAACTTGTCTGTCAGTTTGTCCTACTGTGGTGACATGTAGACTTGAGTTTTGAGGCTAAGCCTCTGGAGCTTAAAACCCAGCGAGATGCACCTGGTGCACAGGTAACAGCCCAGCTTATAGACTGAGACAGACTAGGAAGAAGGAAGAGGCTGTCCACTTCTCAAAGAATTGGCCAGGAAAAACCTTATGAATAGCAAAGAACCAGGCCAGGAGCTGATTGTGGAACAGACCATCTACTGCTCATATGCAAATTCAACTTGAAGTTAAAGACAATTAAAACAAGTCCAAGAGAGCCAAAGTATGATCTTGAATATATCCCTCCTGAATTTAGAGATCATCTAAAGAATAGATTTGATGCATTGAACACCAATGACCGAAAGCCAGATGAATTATGGGAAGATATCAAGAACATTATCCATGAAGAAAGCAAGAGATCACTAAAAAGACAAGAAAAGAAGAGAAGACCAAAGTGGATGACAGAAGAGACTCCGAACCTTGCCCTTGAGCGGAGAATCACTAAAGCAAATGGAAGGAATGAAAAGGTAAAAGGGCTGAACAGAAGATTTCAAAGAGCAGCTCGAGTAGACAAAGCCAATTACTATAATGAAATGTGCAAAGACCTGGAGTCTGAAAACCAAAAGGGAAGAACACACTCGGCATTTCTCAAACTAAAAGAACTGAAGAAAAAATTGAAGCCTTGAGTTGCAATATTGAGAGATTCTATGGGCAAAATATTGAATGATGCAAGA